AGACTGCAAACCATAACACTCCTAGAAGAAAACATAGGCACTAAACTCTTAACATCTAAGCAATATATTTTTGGATATATCCAAAACATCCCATGTTTGTTGGGAGTTGGATGGAGGGCGACTTCTTGAATGTTAGAGAAACTCTGGAGGGAAAATCAGTAGTAAATAAGTAAAGATGGCCCCTGCCTTACAGAGGCTTGACTTTATGATGGCATAAAAGTGATACACATTCACTAGAAACCTTACTTCAGAGTCTGAATATTGGTCTTTTCCTACACTAGCAGTAGGTGGTAAGTCCTCTCTCGTGATGCTGGGCAGTGAGACCCACTATCATGAAGGGAAACAGCCAATACTCCGCAGCGTACTTAGTTGACAGCATTCTTTGGACATTGTCATTTTGTGTACATGAGATTAAAAAGTTTATTGTAATTTTTATTTTGTTACAGTTGACATATATTTGTTTCAGGTGTAGCTACAGAGATGGGAAAAGGTAGGTTTATGGGAAAAGGTAGGTTTATATTTGTACGTGACTTTTTTCCCATATAAACTGTAAACCTACCTTTGCCCACCCCTAGACTAGTACCCATCTGACACCAGTTACCATACTAGTGAGTCTAGTCCCCATGCTGTTGTACTATGCATTCCCATGACTATTTGATCCCTTCACCAGTCAACCCCAACTCCCCCCACCTCAGCAGCCATCAATTTGTTCTCCGTATGTTTGTGGAATTTTCTTTAAATTCCACATGTAAGTGAAATTATATGGTATTTGTGTTTCTCTAGGTTCACCTATGTTGTCACAAATGGTAAGATTTCCTTCTTTGTGGCTGAGTAGTTTCACACTGCGTACACAGCACATCTCTTTATCCGTGTATCTGTTGGTGGGATCTCAGGCTGCTTCCATGTCTTGCTATTTTATATAATGCTGTAATGAACACAGGGTGCATATCTTTTGAAATTAAGTGTTTTGTATTTCTTCAGATAAATACCTGTAAGTGCAATTCCTGGGTTGTACAGTAGTTCTAGTTTTAATATTTTGAGGAACCTCATACCGTTTTCCACAGTGGCTGTACCAGTCTGCATTCCCACCAACAGTGAACAAGGGCTCCCTTTCCTCCACATCCTCCCCAGCGCTTGTTTGCTGATTGGACAATGAAAGCCATTCTAACAGGTGTGAGGTAGTATCTCATTGTGCTTTTAATTTGCAATTCTCTGATGATTAATGATGTTGAGCATCTTTGCATGTCTATTAGCTATCCACATGGCTTCTTTGGAGAAGTGTATTCTTGTCCTTTGCCATTTTTTAATTGGACTGTTTGGGTTTCTTGGTAAGTTATACAAGTTCTTTATATTTTAGATACGAATCCCTTATTGATGTCTCAGTGGCAAATATCTTATTCCATTCAGGAGGTTGCCCTTTTGTTTTGTTGATGGCTACCTATGCTGTGTGTAAACTTTTGTTCGATGTAGTAGTCCCATCCATACTTCTTTTTCTCTTATCCAAGAAGATATATCCAAAAATATATTGCTCAGATGTCAAGAGTTTAGTGCCTATGTTTTCTTCTAGGAGTGTTATGGTTTGCGGTCTTAAGTCTTTAATTTACTTTATTATAAAATAGGCTTTGTGGTAGATTTTGCCCAGCTGTACTGTAATGTAAATGTTCTGAGCACGTTTAAGGTAGACTAAGTGATGATGTTCTGTATCAGATGCATTTTAAACTTAACAGAATTTTCCATGGGTTTATGGGCACGTCACCCCATCATAAATTGAGAGGCTTCTGTATGTGTGGACGGACCGGGAGGAGACAGTGTTTTCTCACTGCTGTGAGAACAGGCTCACAAGGCACTTCCACAAACAGGAGGAGAGCTGAGGGGAAACTGGCCCGCCGGGTCTTCGCGTGGCCCCCTCCCCAACCCCACCCCTGCCTGTGTCCGAGTTCTGAGGGCTACATAATGATCCTTCTGAGCAAGGACAATTGAAAGAGTGTTTTAGAACTGTATAATGTTCTTAAAATATCAGGAAACAGTCTCTAGTATCTTAAAATCGGAACAGCTGTGACTCACCTCTGATGAGACTTTTAAGAGTTTCTTCCCTTGTCTGTCCCACCACATGCAGGCTGTAGGTGACGCCCTTGGGGAAAGGTTCCGTGAGGGGAAGCTGCTCTCTGAACAGAGCCCGGCCCTCTCCCCCCTGGTGCTCCGTGTTCTCAGATGTCTTTGCGTTCTGTTTAAAATGTTCTTGTTAGTACATTCCAAGGCTTGAACTCCATTCCTAGTGAAACCTTTCCCTTGTTTACAGGGACTGAAATAGCCACAGTTTGACCTTCTGTTCAGCCTGGGAATATCTGTGGCCATGGGGACACATTCTTGTCCCATGTGAGACTTAGCTGCACAGCAGTTAAAGAAAAGCTCGGGAAACTAGAGACTCCCCACCCAGAGGCCCCTTCCCATTCTCCCCGTGTCAGCCTCCTGTAGGAGGCGCCTGCAGAGGTGCGCCTGGGTCCCCAGGCACCGCTCCTGTCTCAACCCCGGGCACAGATGAGTTTCAGTGCCACATCCCGTTAGTGGTCCATTGTCCGTCTCATTTGCCACACAGTCCAAGTGACTCTCCTGGGGTAGAGGAAAAATGGTTTTAAGAAAAGAATCCAAGAAGATCCTGTGAGAGCTCTTGGAGGAAGTGGGATCAGGAATGGGTGGGGGAAGGAGGAAGAACATGACCAAGCTTTTCAGGAGCCTTGAGGATTGTGTTAGGGATTTGGGTCTGGGGGAGGGGCTGCTTTAGGAATCGGTCATCTTGCTGCCTGAAGCAAAATGGTTGAAGACATTTGTCAGAAACACACCAGGAGAGGCAAACCCATAGTGGTGATGTCAGCAGCTGGCGGAAGGATCTGAGAGCGCCGGGGCTGGGTACAGGAACAAAGACAGGGAAGGGGTCAGGAGCTGTGTGAAGGTTTGCCGAGTCTGAGGTTAGACGTGTTGCCTTTGAGATCATGGCAGAAATGTCCAGGAACTGGTCAGGACTAGTAACGGGCATTTGTTCAAAGAAGGTTGTGAGCTCTGCAGAGAAGAAAGCAGAAACAGACCAGCCAGGCCCCTTACCGTGCACAGCCAAGGGCTGGAGGAGGCGGCAGGGACTTCATCTAGCCTGTGGGAAGGAGATGATCATGTGTGGCTGATGTTCCTGCCTCTTCATTCAGGCCCTGAAAGCAGTATGGCAGCTTTGGTTTCAGACCGCTGCTCTCAGTGCCTGGTAACCACATCCAGTTTCGGCTGCTTTCCTAAGGTGGCCCTCTCCAAGCTGGTGGTGCTCTGTAGGCGGCCGTTGGCAAGGCCCCCCTGGTTTCCAGAGTCTGAAGGGCAGCCAAGTGCTGTCCCCTGTGAATTGTTCCCAAGTATGAACAGCCTCGGTGACTGTTGTTCCTCAGAAATGGTTTCCTGGCATCAACACACAACTTGGGCTCCTGGCACATGGTCAGTCTGAGATGACGTGGAAGGTGTCATTCCAGGCCTGACAAGCCAAGAACTCGGGGTGGGGGGGGGGGGGGGACTGGCTTCACATCCACTTCCTTTAAGCTGGCTTTCCTCCTCCGCTGATAGGTGGTGATTGGGCAGTAGAGCTGGGGGCCTTGTCTCTTCACACTTGAGGGGAGGATCCTTTAGTTACAAGCAGATCAGACATTTGTGGGGATAAGCCCCCTGAAGCCTGGGATCCCTACCCCCGGCCCAGGCACTCTCTCCTGCCACCCTCCCAGGGCTGCTCCATGCTGCACACACGGATAGTGCGATCCCAGAGCCTCCTCCCCTACTGGGGAGAAATCAGAGCACAGTAGAAGAGACGTAAGTTTCAAGAGGGGTCATGCAGACCCTGTTCACAAAGAATCAATCCATCACAGGACACGTAAGCTACACCAAAGACAGGTATGCGCAGGCTGGGCCCTCACCCAGCTCTGGTGAGTAGGGTTGGTCCCTCGATTGTGCTGGGTATCAGGGCTGGCAGAAGAGTCAGGAAGCAAGGCCAGAGTTCCCTTCCTCCTGTCTCAGAAAATCCTGTTGAAGTAGAGGCGGCAGGTGGGGTCAAAGGGGCCACTGAGCTATCACACTGGGGCTCCTGGCTCATGACCCACTGTTGTTAGTTATGTCTGCAAACCAGTCTGTGACGGGGTCAGAGTTCAGCTCCACCAGGCACTGTTCATTCCTGGTGTGGGGAGGAGTCTTTTCTAAGATCACGCCATTCGCTAGGTCTGAGTGTTCACCAGAATGTTTACGATTTCGGGTTTTACTGCTAATAAGTCTAACTTAGGACAATAATATGGGTTTTCAGTAATAATGCTACTTTCTAGCCTCTTCCCATTCACAAATAAGCATTTCCCTGTACAAAATTCTAGTATATGCTGTTTTATTCCAGCATATGCCTCTTCTACAACCACAAATTTGTGAGTCTGGTATGTAGGTAAAATGATGGCAAGAAAAGAAGGGGCCCGGAGAGAGAAAAGTGAACTCTGATGGAACGCGGGCAGTAATGGAGGCTTCCCGGGGCGGCTTCCCAGGGCGGCCCGCCTGTACCCAGTCAAGTAAGCCCAGGCACAACGGGGTGTGCGAGGGAGCAAAGCAAACCCTGGGAGGAGGGACTCTGCCAGTGGCGGTCAAAAAGCCTCAGTGATTATTCCGAAGGCCCTTTTTTCTACCACAGGGCACAAATGGGGGCACTTCTTTGCAACTGCAGAGAGAAAGGAGGTGTTGAAAAGTTTCTAGTAAGAGGAGCTGAATGAAAATTAAGGATTACCTTGGGTAAGACGAATACTCTGGTGTGGTCTTTACTGGCGAGTCAGTAAACGCATTCCACGGTGGCGCACACACGCTTTCGTAGGGAATCGCTGAGAACTTCCCAGACGAGAGTTTCTAAAGCACGAGTTCTCCGAGCACAGCCCCGCAGCCAGGAGGAATTACTGCGCACACTTACTGTGAAGTTTGCTTCCCTCACACATCTCTTTCTCTTTCAGGCTTGAAAAAACCTTGCCCAGTTTTGATCCCTTCAAGACTTTGCCGCAGCCTCTATCACACATCTGGGTTTTTTTTCCCCCCCGAAGAAAATAAATATAATAAAAATGTTTTACTCTTTTACACTGTATAATTGTAAGAAATAGTGTGTTATTTGTGAATGCATGATCTGACATACATTTCTGTACAGTTTGGAGGTATTTTCAAACAGAACATAAAAGATGTCAACAATAAAACCAAGAGTGAATATTTTTATACCAAACATTTAACAGGATGGATGATCGTACACTGGGTTAGATCTTACACAATTTTTGTGCTTGACTTTTGAATGCCTGTACTTAAAAATATCTATTTTTTCCCTCTAAAATAAGCTGCATGTTTGAGGCATGTTTTTAAATATGAAAATTTCCAGAACGTATTGTGAATGTATAGAAATCCGTGCCTGGCCCGAGTCCAGGGTGAGTTAGAAACGTGGTGTTCGATGCTGCAGGACTAGGTGTGCCCTGGTGGTGCGAGGAGAACGCCCCTGCAAGACCACCAAAAGCCCCCAGGAGCTTACCTTGGTGACACGTTCACGGCTGGGCCCAGAAGCCTCTCTCTGGTACAGGTTCCTGATCGAAGTGCGCCCTTAGAAAACCCTGGCCGCTCCACAGGTGAGAAACTTGGTGACACAGGCGTATTACCAACCCCCAGTGCAGGTGCAGAGCCTGTCTCGCTGAAAAGGGCAAACATTGGCTTTGGGGGGCTGGCACTGCCTCAGGCAGGAGCGGAGTGTGCGCCACCTACGTGGCTGCAGGGGGCAGCTCCTGTTTCCCAACTGATTCTGCAAAACATAGGCTGACTGGTGTTCCCAAGTCTTGGCAGCACCGTGCCGAACGAGCCATTTAAAACAGTCTTGAAGGCCGCGTGCACACTGGGCGGCCCATGGAGAGACGGAGCACTGTTTGGCCTGCCTCAAGACTCCTCCAGAACCACAATGTCGGTCTTGCACTGTGAGCTGACACATTTCCAGAGTCTGATAGGTCAGTCTCCCCTCTTTTTATAGAAGAGCCATGTGTAAAAATATATATATTGACCTAAGAATTTCAACTGCTGATATAGCTAAACATGGTCAAGATCTTTCTTAACTGATCTCATGTTGTGCTAAATAAACACTTCAGTGTTTTCATGATTATATGGTCCATTTTGGGTTTCATTCTTTTCCATAAGAAATGATGACCTTGAAAGACTTCTTTGACAGAAGATAAGGGGAGCCAGGGCAGAGGGGCTCTCTCCCTCATAGAAACAAGGCCAAGGGCCCTCAGAGCAGCACGGGGATGGCCGTGCTCATGCCTTCGCCACTGTGCTCTCGGTGAAACTTCTATACTGTTGTTTCTAAGGAAAACAGCAACTTCCATACAGTCTATTACACTTTCACAAATTGCTTAATGGTACTTTTCTATTGTCATTTTTAAAAATAAAGTGCTTATTCCAGCTGTCATGCCACCGTTGGGCAAATTCTTTTTGCACGATCAACCAAGAGCACACCGCACTGCAGACCAGGGGCCAGCAGATTCCCCTACCATTTGCAGGCCTCAACAGAGCTAAGCAGTGGCCCTTGAGGTACGGACAGAGAGGCTAAAGGAGGAGACAGGGCTGGGAGGGTGCGAATGACCCCCACAGATGCTGTGTGCTGGGGAATCAGTGAGCAATGTGGACGCCGCAGGCCATGGCCCTCCCTGGCGCCTTCCTGACCTGGCAGGAGGACCGCAGAGAACCGCACACCTCTGCTGACTGCACATCCACCTCAGCCTACAACGCTTAGCTCCAGATTATCTGAAATCTATAATCACTTACGGTTTCCAGTTAAGTGAGAAGTCAAACCCTAATAGCCGAGGTGATAAAAGCATTTCTCATATATACTCGCCAACCCTTCTTCCCCGAGGAGGAGGAGGAAGGAGGGAAAGCACAGTGCTCAGTTCCAAGTAATGGCAGCCACCACAGACAACTATTAGTCTTGCTGGGCAGTGACCTGGCTTGGTGGTTTGGATCTCCTGTCCCTTTCGCAGAGGAGACCATCACCAAGAGCAGGTCCCCTTCGCAGCCTTCCAATAGCTGGGAGCCCGGGTATAGCAGCAGACAGCCAGCTCTCAGCTTTCTGCAGTCCTGCCCAGGCTGAGGGCCACACCTAGCGCGGCTCCATGACAGACTTGACCTTGACAATGGAGCTTTGCACTCTGACCTTACTCAGAGGCACCAGAGGTTGGCCAGACAGCCTAGGAACTGGGGGTATCACCCCCCCAAAGGAGATTCACTGCCTCTCCTGTCTACCTTGGGCCACCCTCACCCAGTCACTGCCCGAACAGTTACTTCCATAGTCTTTTTCACAAGGGGCCTTGGGATGGCTGGGTGAGTGCTCCAATCACCACCGTGGTGATGGCCGTTAGTGATGTGCAAGTGACAGGTCTGGGTGGTGCTTATGGACTCCGCATACGTTCCCGCTGACCACCCAGACACCAGCTCCACTGCAGTCTGAGAAACTGCCTTTTCTGTCAACTACTGAACAGGAAGAGTGTCTTGGGATTGGGAACTTGGGACAAGAAAAAGCAGGGTTGTTCCCTCTTGCTTACTTTCATAATGTCCTGGTGTGTGGGCTCCACCAAGATGGTAACTAAGCCATCTTTTTCTTTCATTATGAAGCAAACCCTCTCTATTGGGAGGGGAAGACATGCCCTTGTGTACATAAGACTACACAAAACTGGCACCTAACATTAAATGCTAGGCCTATACCTTCCACCTCTAACAAAATTACAAGTTAAAGGAACTTGGAAAGTAAAAGTTAGACTGCCACGGCCTCATATCTAGGCTTCAAACTCACTGGACCCAATGTTTGTATATATGTTGGACCTAATTCTTATGGGACCAACATGCAATTCCTACTGTTCTCATCTCTGAGGCTTCCTGAACCCCAGCACCCCACAGCATCTTTGGGTCCTGAGCTGTGCTGCATAAGGAACATTCCTGAATTTCATGTCTCAGCGGAGGAATTCCTGTGTCAGGCCACAGAAACCAACCAGGCATTTGGGAGTGCTTTGAGTGAGCATGCTCAGTGCTGGGGGTGTGCACATTTCCTATCACTGGGGTCACCACCTACTGCTGACAAAAGCACCCCTTACCCAGCTGCAAGACTGCTGGCACACAGCTGCTCTTCCTCTTCGACTGGTAACCCACTCTGTCACACCCCCACGTGATGTCAATTTTACAGCATTCTTAGAAGGCAAGAAAATATTATCTGAAAACCATATGCAATCAGCTAGTCGAATATGTAAGGCCCCCAAATTGAAAAAAAAAAAAAAAAAACCCCATCAAACTGCCACATTAGAGCTATCTGCCACTGCTGCAGAACCTCCTTGACAGACCAAAATAGCACTAACTCTTCTCTAAACTGGCCTGGCTCTCTAACATTCCCAAGTCCCCAAAGATGCCAACATGCCATGCAAATTCTTTGTTTCATCCCCTGCGCAGCTCTCCAGTAACACCCCGCACTCTGTTTTACCAGTACTTCAGAGTGTCTGCCACACTGATCCTGCTTTATAAAGCAGACGGGGAGAGGTCCTGTTCCTACAAACCGGAACAAACTGCCTGTAAAGACCAGTGAAGCCTTCCACACTCCACGGCTCACACCCACCTCTCACGTAAAATTCGAGTCAAACTCGAACCGCTCTATTTAACCCTAAATTACCAATAGTTGAGAGGCTTAAATTCAACCCTAACTTGTCTTCTGAGCAAAAAAAACGCCTAAATTGAATGAGAAATGATGCTCAAGTTAAAATATCTACCTGGACAAAAGAGCTTTTCCCCCAAAACTAGAAGGCAGGGGGCTTGGGTGTGAGCAGCTCAGCAAGAAAGTTCACATTCTTAAAATAGTCAACTACAAGATAAAGTAGTTCTTGGGTGTTTCTGGATTCAGGCTACAGTTGACTGTCCTCTCCTGCTAGTACTACTCCTCTGTGTTTTCACTTACCTGAAGGTAAGTTTGGAATGAATGTCCTTTGAAGTATAACCCCTGCAAAATTCTGAGTGGCTGAAATTCACTGGCTTCCTTTACAGAGCCTTGAAACCCCAAGGTTTCGGTCACAGGAATGTGTTGGCCCACCTCCAAACCAGGGGTGCTGCACTCGTTTTATGGGCCTATCTGTCCAAAGGGGCCCAGGACAGCAGCCTTGCCACTCTGCTGGAGGGCACCAACCACCTTTATTTCTAATGGAAATCCTTTCATAAAAGAAAATGTGCTTTTGCATATTTAACTACGGCCAGAGGAAGGTCAAAAGCACAGCGCTGGGGCCTAGCCTACCTGTTTCCCAAGGGCCTTCAGTCTGCACACGCACGCTCACGCACACGCCCCAGGACGGGGGCAGGTGTTCTAAGGCTCACTTAGTCCGCCCAGCCCTCCATCTCCCATAGAATGTCTGCTGCTTTCTCAGGAGGGGCCTATAAACACTCACTGGGAAAAGATGGACTTGTCCTACGTGAAGCCCCAAAGACAGCAATACTCGAATGACAGGTCACCTCTGCTGTCTCCATGCACAATACTCCTGCCTTGCTACAGGGCAACAGCGCTGGTCCTGCCTTGTTAACAGTCAATAAAACCTCAGAAAACCCCAAGTCCTCCCCAGAAAGGAATCTTTTCCAAGTAAAAACAGTGGTAAAAAGGGAAGAGGGGACCATCTTCTGTGCCTCGGAAAACTGTCGGTTGGGGGACTTACAACAATTGGGGGATTTATAAATCCAAATGCCCTAGTGCCACATGCAGAATGTTCTTCCTCCTAGTGGTCTCAAACAGCCCCCAGATGCAGTCGAGGGCCATGTACCTGCAGCCCCCCCAATCCTAGCACACCGGCACAGGAGTAACAGGAGTACCTGGCCCTGCACTGCCTTTTTGCTAGTCCTCTGCTCCACAGGTGTCAAGTGCCCCTCTGTCCCCAGAGTCCCACCATCATCAGGCTACACTTACAGGATGTGACAGCAGCATTTTTTACACTTGGTCTAGGCTCAACTATATTTTTAGTTACCCCCTTTTAAAAGCCTCGAAAGACTATGATGAATTATAGATCAAATGCATACAGACTAAACTGTTAATGCACCCAGCCACGCCTGTTCCCACTTATTTCTAAACAGCCAGCAGATCCAGCAGAAAGGAACAGAGGGAAGAACTTGACAGCAACTTTAACTCAAATTTCTGGTGGATGTTTTTAGACAAAAACTGGTAAAAGACTCTTCTTTCTTTTTATTACAATCTTCAAACACAACTGGACGATCAGAATTTCCTATAGAAACTATGCCCCTCCCACAAGTCACCAGATGACCCAATCCCAGTTCTTCAACGTGGGGAGGAATTTCTCTTCCAAGTAGGTGGCAAAGGACATCAAAGCTTAACACAAGAAAAGGCAAGTGATTGAGGTAAAGCCATAGAATTTGCAAAGGTGACATTTTAGTAAGACATTTTATTTCTCTAAATGTCAATTTCCTCATTTCTGAAATAGTTTAGACAAAATAACTGAAACCAACTATGAGGCCAATTCACAAAGTACGGATGAGCACAGGCTTAGCTAGAAACCACTAGTAGTACACGTCGGGCTGGAACACCTTACCTGAAACCTGTGATGGAGGCCTTGATGACGGTCTCCTTGCAAAACAAAGGACATGTTTGAGATGTCCGAAATGCATTTCCAATCTAACCAATGAAACAAATGGTGACAGGTGATACCCCCAAGATGACAACATAGGTTGTTCCTGATGTTGTTTTCCCTCACGAGAACGACTAACAACAATTCATGGAGGAGACACCCCTGAGAGAATTCTAGAACACGGGGTGAGGCTGAAGCTCTCCCCTGCACCAGAGACCAGGACGGACGACCTCAGAAGGGCACAAGGAGCAGCTACACACCTACCACACTGCCCCTCCGCAGGCCACAGCAGCACACCGAGGTTCCCGGAGCTGACGGTTCCTCCAGGGGAAACAAAGTGTCCAGGGTGAACAACAGCTGCCTCAGCGTTGAATCGCTTCTTAGGAGCCCCCTTTGATGTCACCCCGCTGGACTGCGGAGGCTAACCACTCAGAGTCCGAGTGGCGAGAAGGGGAAAGGGCCTTGCAACCACCAGCTCCGAGATCTCGGCAGACCGAGTTCCTACCTGTGGCACCCAAGGGGTCATGCACGGCGTAATGACATTTTGGTCAATGACAGACCACATATAGACGGTGGTCTCATAAGATTATAATGAAGCTGAAAAATCCCTATTGCCTAGTGACAGAGACATCATAATGTAGTACAATACATCACTCATGTGTTTGTGGCAATGCAGGTGGGTATAAACAAACCTAATGTACTGCCAGTGGTATAAAAGTATAGCACATGCAATTCCTATGACATCTAACTTTGTGTAAGTACACTGTTATGTTTGCACAATAAAACCGCCTAACAACATATTTGTCAGGAAATAACCCTGTTGTTAAGCAGCTCATGACTGTAATAACCCCAACCAGCCTTTGCTCATCTGCAGAACCAAGGAGATGTCACAGCCCAACCAGGAAAATCAGCAGAGTGCAGATATGCCTGATTT